ATAAATTTAAATATATTATTCTATTTTTATATTCTATTTTTTAGTTTTTCTTTTTCTACAGTCAAAGAGCCCCGCCAGTACCTAGTCGGGCTCTTTTAATTCCCATGAATATTGAATAACAAAGATTTATTTGAATGTATTTTATTTGAAAAAAAAAAAATACTTGTAATTAAAACACGATCAAACATAAATAAGAAATACACGGATGGATTCCTATGATATAAGACCAAAATAATAGATATCTATATCTAGATAGATATAGATATCTATATCTGTCAAAAAACACCTTCAGCAAAAACAAAATCCAAAAATGTAATTAAAACCCCGTCTTTCAAAATGCATTTCGTTAGGAGATCCTCTAATGAACCATGTCAATATTCTAATTATTAGAATATTACACCCCTCTGTTTTCTTTCTTAATTATGTCTGATTGCTTTGTTCGACAAAAGATACAATAATTATATTGTAGCGGGTATAGTTTAGTGGTAAAAGTGCGATTCGTTCCTTGAACCCCTTTATAGTTAAGGGATCCCCCATTTGATTAAAATCCGATCAAAAACTTTATTTCTTACTTAAAGGGAATCCTTTATACCTCTAAACGAATGATTTGCGGTATAATATACATTATCGTAATTTGTATACAAGAAGAATCAATTCTAAATTGACAAACTGAGTTCTAAAATTATGAAACATAAGTTTTTGAAATTGGATCAATAATCCGAGTTTTTTGAGTATGAGTAAAGCATCTATGGAGAAAGATATAGAAAGTTTATTTCTAATCGTAACTAAATCTTCCATTTTTTGTATAGTAGAGATTGAAGCAAAATAGCTATTAAACGATTATTTTAGTTTACTAGAGACATCAACATATTTTTTTTAGCTCGACGGAAATTTTATTCTTTTCCTAAAGATTATCTTAAATAGAAATAGAGAACGAAGTAACTAGAAAAAACATAGATTGTTATAAAACTGCTCTTCTAGAGGGATCATCTAAAAAGCAAGGTGTTTAAAAAACCTATTCATACAAAACAAAAAAGGCTCACATAGATGTTATGGGTCAATTTTTTTCCCATCTCGAAATTTCTTCCGTAAAGGAGCCGAATGAAACAAAAGTTTCACGTTCGGTTTTGAATTAGAGACGTTAAATCAAAATGATGAATCAACGTCGACTATAACCCCTAGCCTTCCAAGCTAACGATGCGGGTTCGATTCCCGCTACCCGCTTAAGTGGACATGACTAGGGGGAATCCATTCCGTATCATTTTTATTTTAGAAACTGAGAGGTTGGACAGAGAGAATCATCTCTTCTCAGAGGAGCAATGGCTCTGGGGTTACAGGGGGCTTTCTTCTGTAATTTATCTAGTTTTCCAATCAATAATACAATTGTTGTTTCTCTTTAAAATTTGGGTTCCTATCATGTATCCACTTTTGTTACTTATTCTAACGTATGGGGTTCAGGTCATGTTTCTACATCATCAGGTCTCAAGTATTTTGTCAAGTTTACTGAAGAATTTATACAATCCTAATCCCTAATTCATATGCATGGAATCACTCCCGGCTATATCATATTATTAACAAATTACAAATAAAAATCAAGTTTAAGCACAAGCACAACACTTATAAAAAAGGGTTAGCGTTGAATATTCCATTAGAATATTTTAACACATTGTTACATTAGTTATTGAGAATGGAAAGGAGTGTTATTTTGAGACAAAAATGGATTGATGTATTATTTTAATAAACCTCAAGGATGGTTAGTGTTATTTACCCTTGAAATAATACTAGCAATTATTTGCCTAAAATTAAGCATTACCAAACATTAAGCAATAACAACGCAGCAGGCAGGGAGTTAGAAATAAACTGTAACAATTTTATCAAAAAATGGCCAACAAATAAGGTAATCTAACTCTAGCATCAGTATTGTATAATCAATGTGTTTCAATTCCTCCACCTTCAAGGGTAACATAACACAAAATTAAAGCACACACAACCATTTATTCAGTCAGAAGCATTCTACCAGCGACGTTCTACACAAAACTCCACAGAAAAGTGGAAAAACAAGGCACAGAAATACAAATAGCTACAATACATAGCATACACACCTTGAAATACCTAATAGCTCTCAAAATATAAAAGCTTTAAAAAGATGTACAGGACCACAATTGCAGCTACTAATGTTTTTTTTTTGTCCATGAACATGATTCATGCAACGTCTCAAAATTAACAACTAAAGATTATTCTGCACTCACAAAACATGACTTCCACTGGCCAAACATTACTTAACACCAACAGAAATCAACCCTAGGAGCACCAGATCAACTCCCGTGTCCCACGAATACTGCCAATGTTTCAAAAAACAGTTCATAATTATAGATGCAAATCAAGCTCATTTGGGTCTCCACAACTGCAACTGTGAACACATTAGTCCACAATTCCTCACAATATAAAAGTTTGCAACAAAACCACAACCACAATTTAAAACCTCTACATCCGCCAAATTTGTCCCCAATGTCATTCCATAATTTAAAACCTCATACAAATCAACTAATCAACAACATCACCATCACAATCTCACTGACCTGAACAAGATAGTAAAAGATCCGAAGGCCTTCGGGATCAGCGCTACTCTGAACATCTACAAGAGAGCCAATCTTGGAGGTGGTGAAGGATATGTGCTCGTTCCCCATTACAATCTGCAGCTCCTACCTCCCCACTCTATCAGGTTCCGGTCAGTTGTTATCATCTTCCTTCATAATCTGCACAATCAAATAGTTATTTTCAAAATGACAATAAAAGAGGTTCTTAGGGTTAGGATTAGGGTTAAGGTTACCTCGCTCTCGGCGATGATACGGCGGCACTTGCGGAGAACGGCGGGGGTGAGGTAAACCTCCTTGCGGATGATGGTGTCGTTTTTGTAGTTGGAGTTGTTCGCGTAACGGAGTTTTCCGTCAGGTCTGAACTCGAACTCTAGGAACTCGTGCCCGAACTTCCCCTTGTGCCCAACGTAGTAATGCAGGTACAATTCCCCGTTTTCCCCTTCACCACATGTGAGGCTTTCACATTGGCGCCAAGTGCCTTGTTCCAGATCCTTTAAATGCCTCATTCACACATTGTAAACTTTACTTTGAGCTTAATGAAATTTGAGAGCAAATACTTGTCGAGTTTCTCTTCAAAGTCACTGCGAGTGTTTATCACCTCAAAATCCCTAGGAAGTTCATCTCCTTCCTTCTCTTTGAAGTGAGCAATCCATTGCTCCTTGAGCTTGGATACTTCCATCCAAGGCTCAGGCCTCCATTCATCCAAGAACTTCATCCATTCCAAGTGTTCTTGATTCGGTTTCCATCTCCTTTGAAGAAGATCTGAGCTAAGGTGAAGCTAATTGGAGAAGCACTACTTCCACTTCTCCTAACTTCTCCATTATAGAGAGAGAGAGAGAGAGAGAGAATGTTTAAATGATATCGATGCAACTTTTATTAACTAAATATTATCTTATTCAAATTTTTAAATTAAATGTGAATTTTATCTTTCTAACCGTTGAATTATAACTTTTACCACCTTGTCTATTTATATCAAATTTTTTAAAATTGAACAATAATTTAAAGGTAATAAAAAAATATTAATATTTTAGTATATTTTAAAATGTATAAATCATATTTAAAATTTGTATAAATGATACTTTTAAACATATAAACTATATTTTAAATTTATTATAAATAATATATATTATAGCACAAAATTATTTTTATTTATTAATTTATTTTAAAATATTAAATTTAATTTATAAATAATTATGATAAATAAAAATTAAATTAAATAAGAAGTTAAAAAATTCTCATAGATTCTAAAAATTATTATTCAAAAAAAATATTCACATTTAATATGTAATTGTTAATTTCACACAAGATAGGAGTTTGTGTTTAATATACGAACTGATTATTTGAATATGTAGTTATATTTAAAATTGTATAAATAAATACTTTTAAACATATAAATTATAGTTTATATTTATGATAAATAATATATATTGTGATATAAAATTATTTTAATTAATAAAAATAAATTTTAAAATATTAAAATTTGATTTATAAATAAATATAATAAATTAAAAATTAAATTAATTTTTTTATAACAATCTTTAAAATCATTATCATGAAAAATTAACTCCTAGAAAATTTTGATAAAATAAACAATCATTCATGTGTAACATACAATATAAATTCTGATTTCATCAATATTTCAAAAGTTTGCCACTCAAACTTCCCACTAAAAAAATCCACACCCATATCCCTTTTTCCGAATGGAACATAATTTTTTATCTATTATCATCCATCATCACACACTTTATTGATTCACATAAATCAGCAGGTTAAGGGTCAGAGACAGTGATGACTGAATAACAGTCAAAAATTTGTTGACAGTAAATTCTCAAATCTCAATGGCCTCGCTGTGTGGTAACTTTCAAACACCTTGATCGATTTTATTTTAAGAAAACTCAAATTAAATACATTTAAATTTATACAAAATAAAAAGCAGTAAAGTCAACATCATAAAAATAAGATAAAAATAAAATACTTTGTCGTATTACTTAAATCAAGATCTTGATTAAAAAAAAACTAACTACTTAATTTTTATGCGCTTAAATTTCTCTCTATAATATCATCGCTACATCTAACCCTAATTTAAACACAATCTTGATCATTTTCAATCTTAAATTTTTTTTTTAAAAATACTCAAATACCCACCCTCTTGTACTTATTTTGACACAATCTTAATCAATTATTTCCTTCTTTTTTTAGTGATCTTGATCATACATTCTAAAAAGGAAATTACTATATGATAAGATCGTGATATATCTTGTTTTCAAAAATAAAACCTGAAAACATATAATAAAGCTTCGGTTACCAAAATCTTTAAAGCATGATGAAGAAGAAGTTTGTGACGGTCACGACCAGAAGAAAAGTTGTTCAAAGGTTTATAGCATTGCATATCCTTCAAGAATCATGTCCAAAGAATGCAAACCGAAGGAGAATGTGTGTAAGAATAACAAGAGTCATACAGTAATGATGGATCGTTGCAAAAAGTTGGAGTGTTGGGTAATATTAAAGCGTTTGATGGTGGGAAGAGATGGATGGGCTTTGAAACAACCTCTTGTTGATGATAAGTCGAGATCAAGTAATAAAGAAAAAATAAGTTTGGAAAATATTGAGTCCAACTTGAAGAAACTCAAGTACTCAAAAGTTGATGAATTTGCTAATGATATGAGGCTTGTGTTCTCTTATGCATTGCAATACCCTTCATGGAGTGAAGTTCACAAAACTGCGAGAAGAATCAAAGACACTTTTGAGCTCTCATGAAAAACTTACAATCACAAGTGGATGAGGGAAAGTATGTCCAAATAAATGACTAATCATGATTTATGAATAAACATTTGAGGAGTGTTATCGACATACTCTCTAACACATTCACCTCAATATGAAATTGTTCTTACATAGATTTTTACATGAGATTCATATATTTTTTTTTTACTTAAATGTATTTGGAGTTTAGGGTTTAATTTACGCTCTTATTTGATATTTTCAATTTTGTTCTAATATTTTGATACTGTTCTGCTGAAGAGCGGAGCTACGTATAGTTTGAGTCGGGATGATAATACGTCGGTTAAGTCTGATTTTGTCTTTTTAAATGTTTGGTCTCATTTATTAATTTATTTAAAATTTTATTTTATACTAATAAATTAGTAAATATAATTTTAAAAGTAAAAGATTATATTGTTAAATATGAGGGCAAGTCATTTTTTAATTTACAAGATAAAAAAAATAGTTTATTTCATTATTATTAAAATTTATATTTTAAAAGAAAAATAAAAATACTAATATGTAAGAGAGATAATTGGTATACACTTATGTACACTAATTACACTCATCACAGGTTGTAATAAAAGATTAATCTTATCAAACTTTCTAAATATTCTCCATATCCTATTTAAAATTTTTTAAACAACTAACTATAAAAATAAAAGAAAAAAACATACAAAGATATTGTTTTAATTTCTAAATTTTATTTCTTGATTTCATATGAACTAACATTTAAGAATAGGAAATATCATAAATATAGATAATTTAATTTTTTTTATATATTTATTTAATTATATTATGAATAATGTAATATATAAATTAATTTTTATTATAGTACATAATTAAATAGCCTGATTTATTAGGCTTAACAAATTTTTTTTATAAATTTAAATCTGACATTTTTAAATAAATATTTTTTTTAAGATTAAATTTGACATTTTTAGTAACTAAAATTTGTAAGAAATCATATATTTATTTATATATAATTTCGTTATATTTTATTTATAAAATAAATATTTGACAATACTAGTATTATTAAAATAAAAAATTGAAAAAAGAAAAATTCACAAACGCTCTCCTAACACGTTAAAAAATGATGCTAAATAGTTTAATTCGAAACAATTATTCTGATTTAATATATAAGATAAATTATATACAGGGATTTCCCATTCAATGGTCTTTGCACAGAAAAAAAATCCACACTCAAATTGAAATTAATATTTATACAAAATAAGAAGTATTAAAGTAATGTTTATAATATATAACTACTTGATTTTGTGTTCGAAAAGAAAAAAACTACTTGATCAAACACTAAAAAAAATTATGGATTATCGACCGAATGTTATTGGTCGTAATTAGCAACTGATTTAACAATTGATTACCTTATGTCAGAAAATAAAATAAATAAAGTTTTAACGACAAATTTAGCAACCGATATATTAATCACAAAAAAAAGTAAAACTTATCTGTCGCTAAATCAGCAACAATTGTTATTATATATATATATATATATATATATATATATATATATAATTGATTGCTAAATAAATATTATATTGGCGACCAAAAAAATTAGTTGCTAAATAAAATAAAAATAAAATATAATATTTTGTGATTGAATATTGCTAAATAAATTATAAAAAAAATTAAAATTAAACTTTTTTAATACATAATATAAATATTTCATATATAATTCAAAATAATATAAGAAATATATTTCATTTTAGTATATAAATTTTATGTTGCAATTTTTGACGTTTTCATTTTAAAAAACTAACAAAAAGGTGAGTTGTATTATAATATAGATATTTATAAAAAAATATTATAATATAAATTATTTTAAATAAATAAAGATGTTTAAATTTTAAGTATCTTATATTAGTGAGAAAGAGATTTGATGCACTATTATATGTTTATTTAGAAAATAAAAAAATAAAAAGTATATAATTAAAAATAAGAACAAAAAAAGTTTATAGAGATGCATATAAAAATAATAAAAATTAAATGATAATATGTGATTTGTGATTAGAGATTTAATAGTTTGAAGTAGTTATAAGTGTAAAATGGTCTAAAAAATAGACACCAAAAACATAACTTCATATCCCATCAAGAATATATATGTATAAATATAATGTTATAATAGTATTTTTAATATGTAGTTAAAAACTTCAAGAGTAACAATAATAAGTAGTAGTAGTGAAAAGATACTATTTATCTCCAAGGAAAAAATGGGTATGTGAAAAAATAGTTAATTTTAATAAAGATTGTAGTTATTCTTTTTTAGAGATTTTTTTTTAATATAAATTAGGAATATAAGTGTCTTTGAAAAAGTGGACACCAAATAAGCATATCCCCTTTATATATTGTTATAAATAATAATAATAATAATAATAATAATAATAATAATAATAATAATAATAATAATAATAATAATAATAATAATGTATATATAACAATATATAAAGAGAATATATCATTTTAATTAGTGTCCACTTTTAAAGATAATTATACTCTTATATTGTATTTTAATTTTTTTTCACGAAAATATATTTAATGATAAAATAATAAAAAATTACATATAAAAAAAATTAATAAGTATCCTCTTTAAAACTAATAACTACCCAATTGTGTTTTTTTTTATTGAGAAAACATTGACTAGCAAAATTAAGATAGGTTATTGGCCTATACTCTTTTAGATCAAACTTTTTAAGAAACGAGAAATCAAAGCCTAAATAACGATGAAATGTTTTACTAAATGAATTAAGACTCAATGGGGTCAACTGTAACATTGGTGATCGATTCATACTCTATTAGATTAAAGTTTAACACCAATGCAAATAGTAATTAATTTACTCAATTTCTGATTTTTTAAATTTATGCTTTTCCTTTTCTTTCAATAATTAAATATTCTCATATTAACTATATAAATATTTAAATTTAAATAAAAGTTCCTTATATATATCCTTTCTTTTTTTTTTTTTCTTGTAATTAATTATAATGATGTGCTTCCACTTGGAATGCACATGGATGCTACAAGCTTTCATGGACAATCCTTGGAGAAGCTTCAAGGATGGAGGTTCCACAAAAGCTCAAGGTGACCTAAGCTTGCTTACAAGCTAAGTCCAAAGAAGAATTAAGGTCCTAGCTCTACAAAGAGAAACACTCCAGGAGGGTAGAGTTAGGAATCAATGGTGACTTCGGAAGGATGAATTTCAAGAGAAGAAAAACTCATCAATATATCCAAAGTAGCTACAAGTCTCGGCCATATAGAATATATAGGGAAAATTAGGTTAAAGTGAACCATGGGTTAGCCTAAGGTTAAGTGAAACCATGGTATGGTTACTTAACCTTAGGCGCCCAAAATTTGAATTCAAAATTCAAATTTTGGGAGCCAAACCCGGAACCTCCCATGTGCACCTCATTACAATATATAAAGAGAATATATCATTTTAATTAGTGTCCACTTTTAAAGATAATTATACTCTTATATTGTATTTTAATTTTTTTTCACGAAAATATATTTAATGATAAAATAATAAAAAATTACATATAAAAAAAATTAATAAGTATCCTCTTTAAAACTAATAACTACCCAATTGTGTTTTTTTTTATTGAGAAAACATTGACTAGCAAAATTAAGATAGGTTATTGGCCTATACTCTTTTAGATCAAACTTTTTAAGAAACGAGAAATCAAAGCCTAAATAACGATGAAATGTTTTACTAAATGAATTAAGACTCAATGGGGTCAACTGTAACATTGGTGATCGATTCATACTCTATTAGATTAAAGTTTAACACCAATGCAAATAGTAATTAATTTACTCAATTTCTGATTTTTTAAATTTATGCTTTTCCTTTTCTTTCAATAATTAAATATTCTCATATTAACTATATAAATATTTAAATTTAAATAAAAGTTCCTTATATATATCCTTTCTTTTTTTTTTTTTCTTGTAATTAATTATAATGATGTGCTTCCACTTGGAATGCACATGGATGCTACAAGCTTTCATGGACAATCCTTGGAGAAGCTTCAAGGATGGAGGTTCCACAAAAGCTCAAGGTGACCTAAGCTTGCTTACAAGCTAAGTCCAAAGAAGAATTAAGGTCCTAGCTCTACAAAGAGAAACACTCCAGGAGGGTAGAGTTAGGAATCAATGGTGACTTCGGAAGGATGAATTTCAAGAGAAGAAAAACTCATCAATATATCCAAAGTAGCTACAAGTCTCGGCCATATAGAATATATAGGGAAAATTAGGTTAAAGTGAACCATGGGTTAGCCTAAGGTTAAGTGAAACCATGGTATGGTTACTTAACCTTAGGCGCCCAAAATTTGAATTCAAAATTCAAATTTTGGGAGCCAAACCCGGAACCTCCCATGTGCACCTCATTTGGAATGTGATTTGCCTTTCATTTGAGTTGCATTTTGGTCACACCATGTGCATGTGTGCATATGGCCGAAATGCATATCAAATGCAAGGCTAATTACATTCTAATGACAATGCACATGCAACCTTAATTAACCCTAAATTCAAATGACCTTCAAATGAAATTCCTAATCTAAGTGGCCGAAAATACAAGGCCCAAAAAGAAATACAAGGCACCAAGGCCCAATCCTACACTAACCCTAATCTAAGGGGGGCTTGAGACAAAGCCCAACAAAATAAAGTGATGGGCTTCCCTTGGGCTTGGGCCCATTCTTCATGCATCCTTCTTGCCATAGCCCTAGTAGTTGGGCCCTTGGCCCATGGGCCTCCTCCATCATCCCCTCCCTCTTGAAGAGGATTTGTCCTCAAATCCAAAGCATCCTCCTCTTGGGTAGCTAGTCCTGTAAAAAGAGATAGATCAGAACTACTCTTATTATTATATTTTTGGTATTTTTCTGTTTGGGATTGAATATGATCTCTAACCCTCTCATGTAATTTCTTGACAAACTCAACCCTAGATGTGCCTTCTTTATGAATAAAGGAAGCAACACCTGGTAGGGGTAATAAATCC